ATATTAAAACATATTAATATAAAGTAATAAAATCACAAATCCAGAAGCTGAAATTCAAGGCCTTTCCAAGAGTCAATTACACGTAATCCTGTATGTTTTTTTTCATTGCTTACTGCCCAAAGGCTTGGTCCCACATCCTTATCTTTACTTTATTTCTGAAGACCAAAAGAGAGGGCGCTGATCTAATTACAGCAGGGAGGGAATTCCAGATGAGGGACCACCACTGAGAAGGCCCTGTGTCTCATTCTCACCAGTCATGCTTGTGAAGGAGGTGGGACTGAGAGCAGGGCCTCCCCGGACGATCTTAACCTCCTAGATTGCCCATGGAGGGAGATACGTTCAGACAGATACATTGGGCCAGAACTGTTTAGGGCTTGTAGGCTATAAAGCCAGCATTTTGAATTCACATCCATTCACACCTTGAACCCCATGTTGAGAGAAAAGTAGGATACAAATTCAATACATTAAAACATTAAAATAAGGCTTCCACCAATAAGTTGACCATTTTAAGAAACACAGTCTGGTTTTACATGTGTCATATAAAAACAACTCCCATTAAGTACTTCTAACAAATTAGAAAATCTTCTAGTGTAAGAAACACAAACGAAAGCCACTTACAACGCAGAATGTGGCATTTACAACACTTATGGTAAGAGTGCTTATGACAATATAGCAAATTACTTCAGCACATAGCAAAGTCAGTCTTACAATCTAATTCCAAAGCATGCCATCTTTCTTTTACATTGGTGTTGAAAAAACTCAACATTAGGAACCCAGATGCTTTCTGCTGGAATACGTAAATTTGGATTTATTTTTGAACTGGGTAGTACAGAAAACAAAATAGTCATATGTGCATACAAATTATTTGCCAATAAAATGATAATCTGATAAATGTATGTTTAATCAAAAAGCTCGAAGAACTTTTTTTCAATGAATGGCATTGTCTAACTATCTATTTGTTTACTTCAGGATATGTTAACTTGAAGATATATTGTATTTGAAACATTTTACATAAACATGAGAAATAAAACACAGTGCTTCATTCATTTCTCTTTAACATATAGCTTTCCCTGTCTCTAAATGATTTCTCACTAGATTCTTCCAAATTATGAACAAGTAACAATACAAATTCTTGGAAATGTATTCAAAATAGAAGTAAAGATATTACATTTGATTTGGTAGTTCAAATATGTGTAATTTGCTGAGTATGGCCCAGAATGATTACTGTCTTGTGTTTCGACTTTCAGGAACAAACTAAAAGGAGTTGAGAATAAAAGAAATATGATTCTTGGAACTGAAACTGCTACACTATTTTACTTTTTCCTATCTTTGCAGGGAGTATAATCTATCTATTTTGACTCTTGTGCCCTAAACACACAAGATTTATAGACAAATTTGCTTAGATTTTCACTAACATGGCTACTGTTGTTGACAGAGATCCAATGAATGTATCTTTGGACACTATGCATATTACAGCCCTAATATGTTTGCGGAGCCTACGGATATATACAAAAATCTTGAAGGGGTTAAAAGCAGCCACCAATTTCCTAGATCATAAAAGTGGCCAGCGGGGGAAGAGGTTGCCTAAATGAGGCAGCAACAAATCCCTCTTTGTAATAAGGCTGTCTAAAGGAAGCAGTGGTTAAAACAGTTGCTGAAAAAGCCCACCCTGATAATCCCCATTGTACTGGATTATTTATCATTAGTCAGTCCCTCCAAAAACTGAGTCTTAAGGAATATACTGGAACACATGGTAGCCCCTAGTTCTAACAGTTCCTGGATGAGACTGGATCCACAATTTATTGTGTAATGCAGATTGTTTGGGTTGCTTTTCTGGATGTAATAAACCAAAACAGAAAAGTGCTTTATTGTGGCTCTATTAGATTGCTAAGTACTTCCAATAACCTTAAGCCATGATCTCTTTCAGGGCTATCTCTTTTAAAATCGATCTTAAAGGTATGAATTGGCATCCTCTTAATGGCACGTACAGGCACACATCAATCATACTCTTGTTGTTGTCTCCTGTTGAGACTGTCGTTGTTTCTATATTTATTTATATCAAAATCCATTTTCAGCAAAAGAAAGTGTACATTTTCCTCTGTTGTTAGTTACGATAGTCTAGAGCAGACGTTCCCAAATTTTTCAGTCATGGAATCCTTCAAAATACATTTCTTGTCTGTAGAACCATGACTTTATCCCTGAGTTTTACTAAGTGTTGTGAATCCACAAATATTTTCCTTCTTTCATCTACTCCTATTGCCTGAGGGTTTTGTATAGTGTAGTAGATTTGGAAATAAAGAGACAACATCTTAAGTGTACCCACAAAAGTGAGTTTGCCTTGAAACGAATGAAGTAGTGGTATTTTAGTATTTACAAAACGAAGAACCTTCTGGATGTTGCTACAAAAGCCAAGAGAGCACTAGTAAGTGCTTGAGGAGCTTTCCAGAACTTCCATACGTTTTCTCAGATGCCAGGCTGTTATAAAACAACTTTGGTTGGGGAGGAGGTTTTTAGAGATAACATGCATACCTGCTTCCTTTGCATTAGAGACAACTGAATAGTTGGCCTTGTATGGTTTTATTTTTAAATCCATTTCAATTTTAGTTTTAGGGGTTTTTTTTGTGGAATCCCTATTATGCTTTTGCGGAAACCTAGGGTTCCGTGGAACACAGTTTGGAAACTGCTGGTCTAGAACAGTTGGTTCCAACCTTTGGTCTTCCAAGTGTCTGAAACTTCAACTCTCGGAAATCTGAGCCCACTTGCCCAACAGTCAGGAATTCTGGGAGCTGAAGTCTCAAATGTCTGGAGGACCGAAGTTGGCAACCACTGGTCTAAAGAGATATCAGTGCAGGTTCAGGTCGCTCCCTTCCTTGGCAATGTGCAAACTGTGGAAAGTATGCATTAAAAAACAGGTAATAAAATTTCAAATCTATTAGCAACAGGAAAGACTTTTCTTTGGTTTGGGATTCTAACATGTTAATTGACAACAGAAATAACATCTTAGACAAAATGTAAACATGTGACTCCAACACTGTGACTTTTCTTCTGTGAGATTTTTAGCATCTTTCCATGATGAAAAAACCAATTAAGCTTCAAAATCTTGCATGCTGATTTTTTTCCAACATGTTATGAAAGCGAAGTTCCTTGGCCAGCAAATTACAATGCCATTATTCCATCTTAAACATTTAAAGAAACAAAGTTTTTAAAGAAATGAAAATATTGGTCTTAAGATGCCACTTGATTATTTGTATTCCACCAAAGCAGTTATGTTTAAGATATCGATAAAACATACTAGTACTGAAAAATGTATTTTAGAAATAGAAACTATTTATATGTATAGAAAACCAGTTGGAAACTTTCCTCTTGAGAACAGATATGACTTTTTCAATTAGAGCCTTTACACCATTTCCTTTTTTACAAAACTCTCTGACAATTATGCCATTTCACTGCAAGCCTATACCACATGCTTTAGGGCAAACACATGTTCAGTATTGCTTGCGTCTAGCTGGTGAAATGTGATAAGATCTCTTTCCTGCTGGCTTCTTACTCAATCTGAAATTAAAGCACTGTTTTGCTTGGATTTTTTAAAAAATTATCCTTTATAGTCTTTTGCTCTAGAGTATTTCAGACTCGACTGGAAACATACCTGGCTAGCAAAACACTGGGAATTGCCAGCCCTGCCTTCCATATTTCACCATCCTCCCCCATATGGCATTAATAAAGCCACAAGCTGAATTTTCTGAGGTTCTGTGGCATACACAGGATATGAATTACTGTAACAATGTGTTTTTAATTTTTCTCTCACTAGAGGCAATGAAATCAGGTAATGTTACTGTTATTCTTGCTTCCCAAATTTATCCACCTCTATACATGGGTAAGTGGAGTTATTACCAGTGAGGATACTGATCAATAACTCAACATGAGCTTTTGTTGTTAACTTGCTTATACAAGGTTTTTTTTAGAACAGAAGTAACTTCCTTTTGCTTATTTGTGCAACTAATAAAAGAAACTTATTCATCATTGATATATGGTAACATTCACAATGGTCTAAACTGTAGACAATCAAATTTTACAACCATCCAATATTAACCACTTTTGATAGATCGCTCCATTCCAAAAGACAATTTTGAATTTATGCCAGACTCAGAAGCCTCCTCCTTTTCCTATCACTGCAACATGAACATTCAAAATAATTCAGCACACAACAACAACAACAACAACAACAACAATAATAATAATAATAATTTTTCTTTAGCAGTTCCTTTGAAAAAAATGTAGTATTCATCTAGCATTCCTCTCATACAATGGATCTCATTAAACTGCTTTTACAACTACTATGGCCTATGAATTGTGAGTAAGGACAGCAAAAAAATTATTAAAGACAGAGACAATTTTAAAAGAGAATAAGACACGCAAGCAAACTAGTTGACTTTCTAATGATCAGGTTGGTGTAAGATACTATTCAGACAGTTGTGCAATTGTAAAGAAAGGTTAATTAGGATTCTTTAATAAAATTTACTTCTTGTTCTTATCATCAGGCAAAAAGTAGAAAATCTGAATTTTGGTAAGGGGCCGTAGTAGCACAGCAGGTTAACCTGCTAGCTGCAGAAAACTTGCTGACCAGAAGGTTGGCAGTTCAAAGCCACGGGCCAGGGTGAGCTCCTGCTGTTAGCCCTAGCTTCTGCCAACCTAGCAGTTCGAAAATGCACAATGTGAGTAGATCAATAGGTACTGCCTCAGCTGGAAGGACAACAGGCTCATCAACAAGAGCACCTCCCCATGTTCTGAGCTGAGCATCGCCTCCAGATGCCGAAGATGGAAAGGGAAATCTTAGCCTTTGTTTGTATTCTATGTCATTGTTGTTTCTGTATAAAAGGCATTGAATGTTTGCCTTTATATGTGTCTACTGTAATCCACTCTAAGTCCCCTTGTGGGGATAGAATGGAATATAAATAAAGTGTATTATTGTTATTATTATATCCTTAAATTAACATACTGACCTTGAAGTGAAGCTGAAGCAAGCAGCAATTCCAGGAGAAGGAAATGTGAAAGAGAAAGTTAGAGAAAAGATTAGTGAGAATATGCCCTGAAGTTAACACATCAAGAAAAGTGACAGAGGAGTAGCATGGCATCAGAAATAAGGCAAGAACAGAATGCAAAGCGCTTCAGTCAAAATCCAATGTTTTGGTAAGCTTCCCATCAGCAAGAATCCCCTAATTAGATTACACCATGTTACACACAAGGAGTACTAAAAAAGACCCTTCTCTTTGACTTCACCCCACTCCCCCCCCAAACATAGCAAATGGAAATCCTAAAACCTGTGAGGCTCACTCTGTAAAATAACTAGCTGTTGTCTGAAGGAGTATTTTTGTAACATATTATTTATTATTAGACATTAACATGGGGTTATTTCTGGGAATTGTTCAAGATTCCTTATATACCCAAATGATCTTAACATAAAAATGCAAGCCTTCTTATGCTGCTCGTAAAATGTTAAGAAAATCTAAGAGTGAACACTTCACAGTTAAGGAAATGAGGATTCACTGGGCTGACATCCTTAAGTTACCTATAATCAAACTTTGTACCATGAGGTGCAATCTAAAAACAATAATGAATATGTTGCTCCTCAATAGTTATATCCACTGTCACAAAGCAGTAGGTGTGCTAAAGATTTCTACTGGACATTACTGTAAAGTTATGTGCCCCATGGGTTTATTATTGCCCTTTTGGTATTCACTCTAATGCCCATCCATGGTCAATTTCACTGATAAATTGAAGATCAACAAGAAAATGTTCTAAGAAGATGGCATCAATTTATAAGGTTATCATATATCTTTTTGTTTTGCAAGTGGCAGACCAAGTTTTATAATGGTGGGACACATGATCCCTAAACAGGAACACAGTCATAATTTTAACAAGTTTCTGTTATTCCTGTTCAATTAACACCCTGCATCGCCATATTGCTTGCTGGAAATAAATAACTCAATGACATTTATATGCTCAGACAACTGAGGCACCACATGAATTGGCTCTATTTTAAACATGTTTCATTTGAAAAAAGCAAACACCACTAAGAGACTTACAGAACATTAAAGGCTAAGAAGTTTTAATTGGCATAGGTTACATATGATGAAGTAGACTGGCGTTATGCCAAATGAAACCTGTAGGTGTTTAAGGTGTCAAAAGGCCCTTTATTGTTTTTGCTGCAAGAGATGAACATGACTAACCCCATCCCATTTTTTTTAGAGAACAGTATTTCTGAAATTAAATGTTTGGATTAAATTATTTGTTCTCTTAGTGGTTCTTTGTCTCTTAACCAATATTACAGAAGAGATTCTTACTACATATATTTCCTAGGGACTGGTCAACAGGAATCACATTGACAAATTAACTAAAAACAGTATGAAGTTGCTATGTAAAATTTAGAATAATCAGGATCCATCATTTCCAGATACTTCTGAGGTTGAAAGCAAACAGATTTTATAAAGTAGCACTGTATGCATAAGCTATCTTAGATTTACAACTCACTTGAGACTGGTATCAGTCTAAAATTATTTTGAAATCTTAATGTACTGGGGAAAAGAACACAAAGAATGAACAGTAGGTTACACAGATGGAAGAGATTTCTAGAAAAAAGGCACGTCTCCTTTGAATGGCAACAGGAACATTTTCTTTATCTACCAAAGACAGACTATTAGGAAAATAGGAAGGCTCCAGGGGAGAAAATGATTTCTCCCAGTTTGGGTGGTAGGGGTTCTAAATCTTTCCTGTTGTCACAAGAAATAACTAATTTATTTACTTATCAAAGATTTCAGATAACAAAACAATGACTAGTTTAACTCTAAAAGCCTATTTATTGTTAACAAGACAATAATAACAAATTCATAACATTGTTGATCACTTCATATTTCTATAACATGCTTAGAACAGCAGTATAGCATAGAGGCATTTTGTAGTTACATCAACTACGGGCACATCTTCCCTTTTAAAGCCTACATCAGTGAAATTGACTTAAACAGAAATGAATAACCAACTTCCACAAACAAAGCAGGCCTAAGCAAGCAATAGGTAAAATAATAGAGCAAATCTTATTGAAAACTAATTTGCTTCAAGCACATGCATGCAACATTCATTCTTTGCAACATTTAGAAGCAGCTACTTTTCTGAACCTTAAGAGCTTGTACCTTTGACACAATATTTCACATTTGGGAGTGAAAATAGTATAGTGGGAATATAAACATATTTCTCAATAATGTTTGGTTGATGTTCAAAAATTTCATCTTATTTTAATATTACAACATGAAAGAACATGTTTTTGTTCAAACAGGAGGGTATTCACAGTACAACACTTTGGAATTATCTTTTCCAGTTGTCCTGGTGCAGCATTTTACATTTATTTTGCCTGCACAGAAAAAACTAATGGCCAGCAATATGACTAATACATAGCCAAACACAACCTTTTCTTGACAAATCACTATTTTCAACCATCCAATTAAGTCTATTGACTCTACAGTTCAATACATTATATTATATTGTGATCAACACAAAGCTTAGCATGTTTTAACCGCATATTCTTTAAATTCCAAAGTTTCAAACACTTTTTCATGCCCATTAAGAATGTATCATTCCACTCTTCTAATCAGAACTACTTACCTTGCACTGTAGCCACTGAAGAGAGCCCATCAAAATTTATGACTATCTTTTTAGTGCAGAGTGGAAAGGGTGCTTTAGCACAACAGCGACTGAAGAGTATTACTAAGATTATCTTTTTAGCTTTTCCGTTAAAAATTAGCTAGATTTATTTATTCTTGAAATAATAATAATAATAATAATAATAATAATAATAATAATAATAATAAATTCCACCTCCATCTCCCCAAAGGGACTCGGGGTGGCTTACATGGGGACCAAGCCCAATATAACCAAAAGTTACAAGTAAACACAATTAAAAACATATAACAGTAAAATGTATTAAAACAGTAAAACGAATAAAATGTAAGACATCATAAAATAAAAACAAACAACTAGTAGCCGAGAAAAGTGGGCGTGTGCAGATTTGTGACTAATACGGCAGGACAAGGGCTTGTGCTAACACAAACTGTAGGGTCGGGGCTGGGAATAAAGTGCTGGAGATTCAATCAGAAGATTAGGGCTAGGCAGACTTAATCAGTAGCTAAACCATTATTCAAAGGCACATTGGAACATCCAAGTCTTCAAGTGTTTCTGGAAGGTGGTCAGAGTGGGGGCTAATCTAATCTCCCTGGAGACAGAGTATTCTGAAGCATCCGAATACACTGGCATTCTAATAGGAAAACTTACAGAAATATAAATCTAGAAAAGGAATGGGATTTTTAAAAATGCAACTTATTTTGAAATGTTGACCTTTCGACACATCTAATGTTTTCAGTAGCACACCAGGATCATAGAATATTATTGAAGTGCAACTGATGAGTACATGCAGAGACACAAACTATTCACTAGAGCAAATCCCAAGAAAAAATGGCAGCCAGTTAGCAGAAAGCAGCATGCCACCAGCAAGAAACATTGCTTCATAAGAAACTCACTTTCCTAAAAAGTCCCATACAAACCCACCTACAGGCTGGGGTGCAGGGACATACACCTGGCATGGAGAGGACAGTCTATGCGAGGTATGCCTTTTGGGAAGAAGCATTGCGAAAGAAACCACAAGTGCAAAAGAAAACCAGAGAGCATAAAAGACACAGAAAGAGGGGAAACCACAAAAGAAACATCAATGAAACATTAGATGACTGTGGGATGACAACACAGAAGTTAGTAAGAGGATCTGGGGAACTAGACATTTGATAAATGAACATAACTGCATAAAAAGAAAACAAATCACTGAACTGCATACAAAGAAATCAAATCACAAATCAGGTGTGAGTTCCTTCAAAATGAACTACAATCTTTAGAAGGGCTTTTCATCTGGTTCTCAAAAGTTAAGCCATTAGCTTACTGGAGAGTAGATTGTTCTGGACACATTTACATTTGATGTCAAAGTAAGTCAGCTCTTTTCACCATTAAATTTCTTCTTCACTATTTATTCTTCATGTTATCTTCCTAGCATTCTTTTGTTATTACACTGCCACCTCAGTATCTGCTAGAGTTTGGGTCTAATACCTCCTTGTATATAAATCCCTTATATATAAATTGGGAAACAGCTCAAACTGCCAGAGAGAGCCTGTGGATCTGTGAAATGGCAGGAGTCTACAACAGGATACGTCTACGCAACAACATAGTACTCGGTGCACAGTAAAATCAATATTTGCCTTTGGATTTTTTTTTCTGAATATTTGTGAATTGTGGTTGGTTGAATCCATGGATGCAGAACCCATGGACAAGGAGGGCTGATTGTATAAAAATTATTCTAGATGTTTGGACCAGAAATATCCTTGATTTCAGATTTTTTCAGATGGTGGAAGGCTTGCATATACATAATGAAGTATCTTGGAGATGGGACCCAAGCCTAAATATGAAATGTACTTATCTTTCATATACAGTGTTCCCTCAGTACTTCGCAGTTCGCTTTTAGTGGACTCACTGTTTTGCGGGTTTTTGAAAATATTAATATAAAATATAAAATATTATGTCCAGTGGAGGCCAGGGACCCTGGAAGTATGAGGCGTGGTGGAGAAGGTCTGCCTCCTTGGCCTGCTGCTGCCTGTGTGGCTCTGGAGGCTCTGCAGGGGTCTGTGGAGGCCAGGGAGGCAGGCAGGTGCCCTTGGGATGGGCCAGGAGGCAGGTAAGGAAGCTCGGGTAAGAAAATAACATATAAATTAATGTATAAAATTAAAATTAATATGGAATCCCTACTTCACGGATTTTCACTTATTGCAGGTGGTCCTGAATGGAACCCCCACAATAACTGAGGGAACACTGTACACTGTATATACATAGTCCAAAGTTATATATGCTATTTTTGATCATTTTGTGCAAGAAATAATGGATTTTGGAGATTTTGGAACTATGAATAACCTGTGTTTTTTGTGAGAAACAGTTGCAGGCCCCCTGAATAACTTACTCAGCTTGTTAATTTTTTCCTTTCATGAATTGAATGCTTTGAGGAGAGGAACAGTTAGGCTAGCTCCTATTTGGTCAAGCTGCTTTCAGCAGCTAAATTAGTTTTACTATTAAGTATCCAGACTATTAAGTATCAAGAGCTCCTTAGTTAAGCATAATCCACTGAGTACAAAGCACTAGATGGAGTGATCTATCAAATCAGGTGTAGTTCAGCCAATTAATGGCATGAAGATAGTTCGCAGTCTATGACTGGCAAAAGGATATAACATCTAGAATGTTTGCAAGAGTTATGTATTCAGATCATTTCATTTCTATTTTGAATGTGTTACACTGCCTTTTTATTTAAGAGGCACATTTCGACCTTTAAATTCCTAATTAGTTTAGTACCATATCAACCGAAGGATTCCCAGCATCTGTTTAAATCTGCTCAAGCATTAAGAGATTCCATATTTTGGCCCATTAGTGAAAGCTACTAGACCGCAATCAGGATTTTCTCAGCAGAGGATCCAATTCCCAGGACTCTCTCACTAGGGAAATATATATGGCTCTGCCACTGCTGGCTTTAAAATATCTCTATGGACAAGTTTATTGTGTACTGCATTAGGCTCTTCAGAAAAATCTGTTTCTGCCTACTGCTGCTGTTTTTCTTCAATTCTGTTGTTGATTGTAATTTTGTTTTCACATTTTATAATCCAGAAGGTTGCTCTATGAGGGTAGTAAGCCCTGGGCGAGAGGCGAAAGTATTTTTTTTAAATAGAACTATTTCTTGAATGACTTAAGGATTTGAGTATTTTGCCACAAAATACTATGCTCGAGAAAAAGGTATGGATTGTTTTTTCTTGTTGTCATCTACAAGTTAGAAGGGTGGGGTAGGCAAGTTGAGATCTAAGAAAATGCAGTGTATTTTTCTTTCCCTGTAGTAGAAAGAACATGACATGGAGATATGCACAGAAGATCTGTTCTGTGTGCCCTATTACCTGCATGTTGGATGTCTAGTTACCAGCATGTAACTAGACCTCTGTCATGAATTTAGAGACTAATTTACTTCCACTGGGGAATGAATAAAGGAGACAGGAGAAATGATAAGTTTCTTTCTGAGAGTAAAGTGGAGAAAAAGGCAGTGGAACTGCATGAAAGCTATATGGAAATATGCAGTCTTAAAATCTATTGTAGCAAACAAATCTTGTTGAGAAATAGAGTAAGGCATTATTATTCTGAATTTCCAGTGTGATGTCAGAGTTGATCCCTCAGAGGGCTTTTCTATTGTTATTCATAATGGAAGTAATTTTTATTTAATTAATTTTTATCCCATATTTATTCCTACACAGAATTCAAAGAAGCTTATAAGCAATTAAGACAAAATACTATTAGAAATATTAATGAAAAGTTAAAAGGCAACTAAACTAAAATTTTATTAAAAACTTCAGTTAAAAAAACACATTTAAAGCATAACAAAGTATAGATACATCACCTTCATAAAAAAAGCTCTACCTGCTAAAGTTCTGTCATAATGAAACCAAAGTTTTGCCTTAAAAAAAGGTTTTTACTTGTCTACAAAAAATCAGTAAAGATGAGGCCAACTGAACCTACCACATAAAGGGTTTCTGTAACTTAGAAGGAGCCACCAAGAAGGCTCTCTTCCATGTCCTCACCAAATGTGTATGAGATGGTGGTGGGACCGAAAGAAAGATTTCCAATAGCAGATCTTAGAATATAGACAAGTTCACAGATGGAAATATGGTATTTAGGATAGTCTAGACCAGTGATTCTCAACCTTGGCCTACAACTCTCAAAAATCTCAACCAGTTTGCCATCTGTTAGGATTTCTGGGAGTTGAAAGCCAAAACATCTGGGGACCCACAGGTTGAGAACCACTGGTAGATCAAAGTTATATACAGGCCATAACCATGACTTTCAATTGGACCAGCAACAGATTCAGCATGGGAGTTATTTGCTCCCTATAACCAGGCATAGTCAGAAAACTGGATGCAGAATTTTGAACCTGCTAGGCTTTCCAAATAGTTTCCAAAGCCAGTCTTGCATAGAATGTGCACAGGGCTATCACCAAAACCCTTACGTAAGAGCTCTAGAAAGTTCCAAATGATGCACTCTGCAGCTGCAGTTCATTTATTTGTGTCAGAAAGACCATGGAACGCAAACAAATGGCTGCTCTCTTGCTGTTTCATTCAAACCTGTTTCTACAATTTCAACTGTAATCTATTGTTAGCTGTTCAAATCTAACAGCAATATTCAGTATTACACAAATCCTCTTACTACAGAAAAACAGATCTAAGAAACTACACCACAAGAACGGTAATACAAAAGGAAAATCCTTTTATCAAACCATAGGGTAGTATACTCTTATTTAATTTGGTCTCAACACATGCAGGCAGAATTAGTCCTTACTTCAAGTGGCATACAGAAGACAGGATGGAAATTTATTAGCTACACTGTGGATACTATAATTCTATGAGTCTATTATCTGTACCTATCATACTAGAGTAGCTACTAGAGGTTTTATAACAGAAGCACGTGTATTAAAATTAGTATTTCACTAAGTGTCTATTGTATAGGAATTCAGTAGATTTTTGCTCATACTACCTACAAAAACATCAGAAACAGTGGCATCTCTTTCTGATACTTCAAGTTCTTTTAAAAATTAATCATGTAAGCAAAAATGTCCTAGCTTTAGAAGAAGCTTTTGTCTAGTCTTTGTGTCCCAAAATGCTATGCCCTTACCTTTCCAGTTCTGCTATCTTCTTATCTTTATCATTCTTCTCATTTTCCATCTCTTTCAAGATTTCCAATAGACGATCCACTTCAGCTTGAGCTTTACAGGACTCTTCCCGGTGCCGCATTACCTCTCGTTCCAACTGCTGGAATCGATCACCCATCTCTGGACTGGACTTTGCTTCCAATGTTGCTTCATGAGCCTGCATAAAATGATATTCCAACAGATGTTGTTCACATTCATAACAAAAAGTCTTCTGTACCAAAGACAGATGATAAGAAAAGTTTTGCTATATCAATGCAATGGTCTATTGACTATACAAAACTCTTTACAACTATGGCCAGCCAGAAGTAATCATGCTCTGTTTCGGGCTATCTAGAAGCAAGAGCTGTTAAGGGAGTTACCCTATGTACTCATGTATACGTCTAGAATTTTTAGTAAAAATCAACCCCAACAAACTAGATTAACTTATCCACAGGTCAATGCAAGTACTCTACTTAGTTCTTATTTTTTTAAAGGAACTGTTCCCTTCTCTGAGGGGCAAAAGCAAGCCGCCTAAAAGGCACAATGATCCTCTCTACTCTCTCAGCTGCCCTTTCTAAATGTCTGGATGGGGAAATGGTGGATGAGTGGAGGGGCAGGGGTGGCTTTCCCTCTGTGGAATGACCCCCAAATTATCTATGGTCATATCAAAATCCGTATTTTGCCCCCCCCCCCAAACATGTCCTTGACTTATACACAAAATCAACTTGTACACGAGTATACATGAGACAGCCAGCATGGTGTAGCGGTTGGGATTTTAAACTAGGACACTGGAAACTAGGGTCCAAATCTCTACTTGGCCATAGCAACTTACTGGATGACCTTAAGCAAGTCATGTCCTCAGAAAAAGGCAAGGGCAAATTTAGCCTGAACAAAACTTACCAAGAAAATCATGTGATAAGTTAACCTTAGGATTACTGTAAAGTCGGAAACAAACTTCAAGGTTAATGGCACCACCACTACTACAACAACCACTGATTAACAACAGACTCAAATTTACATAGAAAAGAAAAGTACTAGACACTATAAGATAACTGATTATGGATAAGTGAAATTGAAGTTCAAGTCATTATTCCTCCATAGTTTAAATGGCAAAAAACAAAACAATCACTGTTTTTTATATTAGTATTTTCTATATGAGTATTTCTCTAGATTCTTTTCACCACATAAACACTAAAGGAAAGAATGAAGAAAACTAATTACCCCACCTATATCTCATGCAACTCTCCAGCACCAAGCTAACCTAGAAACCAATGGGTCAGAAAGTTCAAGACATGACCATGTTGGTCTGGAATATCTGTAGGCAAAGGAATCCTTTAGCACCTTAATCAATGAGAAAAAGAAGTTGATAGCATAAGCCTTCATAGGCTAAGTTTATTCCTCAGCTGCATAGAAAAGATTAACTTTATTGTCATTGTACATCATACAACAAAATTAAATGCCATCCCCAATAACATTATATACGTACAAATTATAAAAGAGGCACCCATTCTTCCATCGCATGAAGTGAGGTGCCTAGGAATAGATCTTTCTAAAGTAGATAGTGTGTGGGAATAACAATACAAATGCAAAACTTGTGAAAGATAGGAAGGGAGATGGTGCCTAAAACCTAAAGCCAGGGAAAGTAGAGAACTTGTGAATGGTGGAGATTGTTATTGGAATGTAGTGTGATGCTGGCTGGGAACCAAAAGGCAATGTGATAAAGTGGCCAAGAGAGCTTATGAGGCTTGGGTGTTAACCAGTGTTATAATATATGTAGGAAATCACTATTCAATCCATTATGGATGGGCTAGGGTTTGAGGATACATAGTCAGACCTCTAGAATTATAGGTACAAGACACCCACCTCTGTGTGAAAGAGTTCTCCAGATAGATTTTACTATGGTCAACTTCTGTGAGAAGTTGGCACAGTGTCACCCTGGAGGGCCTACAAATGCTTACAGAAATTCTCTGCATGATTCCATGGTCAACTTCCAGTTTAGAGAGATGATACTTTTAAATTTGCATGTACGGCAGCAGCTGAGGTGGTGGCAAATACAAGACTTCGCAAATAATCAAATCTGCAAAGGCTTAAACTGCAAACATGGTGGAATCATTGCATTCCAATTCTGCTGTTTTTCTTTCCTGTCTTAAGACACTTTGACTCTTTAGCATCATTAGCCTCAACACATGCAAGCAACAGGATGCCATTCCAAAAGGCCTGAAGGTGAGGAACCCAGAGACTACAGTGATAGACTGTGCAGCATTCCCTCAAAGAGGTTACATTTTCTGCACAACATACAAGAAAATATCAAGAACGAAATCTTCATTCTGAAATTACAAGCAATGGGCCAGCCTCGACACAAGTCATCAATGGACATGGAACCATCTACAAGACACATTTCTCTTCCCTTTCTCTTAGAAAGTAATAGAAGGAAAAGAAGCCTTTGTACAAGACTCTATGCCCACAATAGGAGCTCCATAAAGCCAGACTATATCAAGCTGCACTCTGAGTCAAGCAGAGGTGTCTGTTCTGTCAGGTCTTAACCTTCTGTTCCTCCAAACCCCCACACAATACATTTCTGTGGTCACTTGGAAGTCTTCCGCTGCTTACATCTTAAGAAATATTTCAAGGATAGTGACACCAGTTAGGTGTCACTATCCTTGACAACTCATCCCTATCTCCACAGCACAACATTTAACCAATACACAATGCAATACTCTCAGATTAATAAAAACGACTTCACATGAACTCCTTATGATAGGCGGGCATGGAACTAGACATCTACACAGAATGCTTCTGTCACTGTGACCAGACAGAAATAACCAGTAAGACCTATAATCAATGACATAATTTCAGCTGTAAGGATCAAGATCCAATACAAGCAGTTCCCAAGTTACAGACAAGATAGGTTCTGTAGGTTTGTTTTTTTAAGTGGAATTTGTATGTAAGTCGGAACAGGTACAGTAACTCCAGATACACACACACAAGCTTTGGATCACTTAGAGAAGGTTTTTGTTTGTTTGTTTGTTTGCTGTCTGTGCCTCTGTTCAGAAGATTTCACCTCACTTTCCATCCCTGTGATAATTGGATTTTGAAACATTTGGCTTGTTGTGGAAACAAGGATTGGTGATAAAGCTTCAGTTCAAAACCCCTTTTCCCCATGATAACTTTTTCATGAGTGAATTTCCCTTCTGAGGGGCAAATTTCTCTCACTTCCTGTTGTTTAATCTCTGTTCTTAACTATGAGTCATTTATAAGTCAGATATGTATAACTTGGGGACTGCTTGTGCAGTCTCAGGAACAATCCTAATACTTTCATCAAAGAGGTCGGTAAATGAGAGGCTGTAATCGTAAGGGATAAATCTGACTGCATACAGGAGGCTGAGAGGGAACAGTCCAACACTGCATTTTACAGAATCCTGTCTAATGATCTCACAGATGAATACTAGAAGGAGCCCCTGGTGTTGCAATGGGTTAAACCCTTGTGCCAACAGAACCACTGACTGAAAGCTCGGCGGTTTGAATCTGGGGAGCAGGGTAAATTCCTCTCTGTCAGCTCCAGCTTCTCATGTGGACCCGCCCACCTTTGTGACCGTATCTCTCTCCATGAACCAACCCAGGCCCTTTGATCTTTGGGGGAGGCCCTCTTTTCGCCCCTGCCAATCTCACAAGCTCTTGTGGGCACAAGGGAGACAGCCTTCTCCTCTGTGGCTACCCGACTCTGGAACTCATTACCTGGAGAGATCAGGAAAGCCCCTACACTAGAAACGTTTAAAAAGAACCTTAAAACCTGGCTCTTCTGCTGCGCCTTTGGTGAGTAGGTGCACAACATGACACTATTGTTCCCCTCAATGCTTCTGTCACTGGAGTACACGCCTCACAAATGGGAAGTTTAGTTTTACAACTCTGTGTATCTTTATGAGCTCCCTGCAAATAACTTGCTCCTATTTTTATCTCATTAGAGTTTTTAACATTTTATTCTGTACATGTGGCCCGCCCACTGTTACTGTGATCGTGTTTATTGTAATGTTATTTTGTTAATGTATTCATATGTTTTTTTTTCCTTGTGTAATTTTGATGATGATGCTTGTTGTTTAAGTTTTGGTTTTATTTTGCTGTAATATGTTGTTCAGGCCCCATGTAAGCTGCTCCCCATTGGGGAGATGGTGGCGGGGAATAAATAAAGATTATTATTATTATTATTATTATTAGTGAAGCCTCTCGCAGGATGGTAAAACATATGGGCATCCCTTGTGTAATGCCCTTGCAGACGGCCAATTTTCTCACACAAGAAGCGACTTGTAGTTTCTCAAGTTGCTTGTGACTAAAAAACAAAACCCTGAAGGGATTACATTCAGCCCTCCACATTCACTGGGCTTAGTGATGCAAAATCCCCCAAAATGGGAAAACACCTTTTTTTTACCTGAGAGAACATATATCTAGTAATCTCTATGTCCTCCAGCGTAGCACTATGGTCAATTTCCATTGGACTTCCCCTGAGGTTATAAAATTGCTGTATGGATTAACAAAAACAGACATATGCATGCACACATAACCAGAAGTATGTACATAAAATTAGTATTTATTTTCCTTGCTAAACAGTGTCAGGGGACACCAGTGCATCTAAAAGGGAGATTTATACATGAAAAATTTAAGTGAGGTAATTCACCTTTATTTTTTAGTCAGAAAATTGTAGTCCGGGGAATTTGCAGGAGTTTAAGGACAGAAAACCAGCTTTGAAGCATGTTTTAAAGAAAGTTAACTGGTGTAGATGTAACATTCCCCATTCAAAAACAATTTTAACAAAAAGAACAAGTACTGTGTCTACACTCTTCTTCTGTGCTCCATGCTTTTCTTCCTCCTATCACTAGCAGCTTATAGCACTGTGATTTTTAGCACTGTGATCAGTGGTGGCCCCTCAACTGTGGAACGCCCTGCCTAGGGATATAAGATTGGCCCCCTCCCTCCTGACTTTCTGAAGAAAGGTTAAAACCTGGCTTTTTGAGTAGGCCTTCACTAATGCAGCATAACTATATGAAATCATTGAACGACTTGACAATGCAATTGAATAATGACTTTGATAAGGAGACGGTCATGACAATGCTTTATAACTTGTATGGTCTTTAATATTTTATGCTAAATGTTTTTAACAGTATTTTATGATTGTTTTAATTGTTTTATAATTGTTGAGGCATCAAATTGTTGCCATCTGTGAACCACCTTGAGTTGGCTCTGGGCTGAGAAAGGCGGTATACAAATATGGTAAATAAATAAATAAATAAATTTGTGCATTAACCAAAATTATCATTAGGTCTGGAGAGCTGAATTGTAGCTTAACACCAGTATTCTGACCTGGATTGATCCTTGTTGGACAAAGTCAGAATTTTCTACTGATGATGTAATGAAAATTATAGTATAAATGAACATAGTTAAATATTATCTGTGAAAGAAAGGGAGGTACGAAAAAGGAATATGAAGACCTACTGATTGTTTCTGGTTCATTGTACTACCTGGAAATGTTATTTCTGAACAAGCTCCGTTAAGTTTAAGAATCTGAAAATGGAATACATTGATACCTCTTTCAGAAAACTGGCATGTGACAAGGCTTGTTACATATTCCCAAAATACATCTCAACCTTTTTGTACCTCCATATTTCTCTAGTGCAACCATTCATGATTTTTCACAAGTTATTAACAAGTACCTTCATGTAGTTATCAATTCAAAACAGATGCAAGAAGGGAGAACTAGCATCCCTGAAATATTTTACAGGACTCCAAAGTGTTCCATTTAGAAATGTTAATGAAAGTATTTCATAATGAAAAAATCTTGCTTGCACTATTTGCTTCAATAGAAAGTTTTAGTGTAAAATTAACAAAGTTAAAAGTATGGATTTTGGGGAAAAGTAAGTGTTTTTTATTTTACTTTACTGATAGAAAATAATTATTGAATAATCATATCCAAACTGTGATGTCAGTCAGACATTCACCTATTCACCATTAATGTCCTGACTCCTTTTATGGTACCAAATGCTTCTCTCCTGCATATATCTAAAAATGGTAAAGTAATTTCCAATTCACAAGCTCATTTGGCGTGTATTTTTAGCAACTTCAAGGCATCAGTTTCTATCTTCCTCCATTAACTTCAAGTCATCTATTAGAGACCATTTACTGAAAGAAAGGGAACTGGTTTTGCTCATCCCACCCACCATGCTGGGAAATTTATGAAGGTATAAGAAAGGAATAAATTAGTATGGTAGCTGGTCACTGATGAAGACTATTTATTGCAGACAATGAGCTGATCTTGCTGATTATTTCTCTGCAGGGAGTGCCTTCTTAAATCCTAAGGTCAGATGCAAAGCAGATGGCACTGAGAGCCTAGATTAATATCTGGGATTCTCTTAATTATGGTTGAGAAACCAGGAAACAGGCAAAGGACTGCATACTCCCAGCTGACCGTGACCCCTCCCTATTGTAAATGCAGTTACAAGCTGTTACAGAACCAGATGTTCATCACAGTTCAGGCTAACTAGGGTTCTCTCACCTCAGGATTTGAAAGCAGTTTTGAACTGTTTGGCCTTATCACAATTCACATAACTGATAATAGAATGCTGTCATGCATTTGTTTAGTTGAACAAAGAAATTGGGTTTTACTGAATACTGGGGAGGAAATATTCAAACTGATAGATTCCTTAAAGTTTCTTAACTGTCTTCAATTATCCTATTTAACGACTAAATGAGATGTCATCAGTAGAATACTATAAGATATTCATATCCAAATTTGGGATGAAAATTCCTTGAATAATGTGTTACTGCTCAGGGAATCTGACCAGAATTCTAGAGCTCTACATTCAAATTTCTCTCAGGGATAAAGCTCACTGGATAATCTTGAGACAACAGATACATCTACACAAGGCATAAGCAAACTCTGGCTCTCCAGATGTTTTTGAACTCAACTCCCACAATTCCTAGGAGCCAGTGAACTGGCTGGGATTTATGGGAGGTGAAGTCCTAAACACCTGGAGGGCCGAAGTTTGCCCATGCCTGATCTACACTGATTATTTAATGCAGTTTGGCAACACTGTGGCTTTTTTTCATGTTAAGTTAAGTAGATGATCCACATAATCTATTGAAATGGTGCATTCATGTTGAAAATTTCCAGAACAAATATGTAACCCATTTCTGATCAGGAAAGTGACCTTTTGAGGAACAAAGAGGTGAGACAGAAAAGTAGCCTTTAACCCTAGAACTGCACTTTGCTCGCTGCCTTAGAGATTTTAATTGTTTACTTAATGAATTTATACCGTGCCTTTCTTCCAAAATGGGAAGGATTTTATATTTAGCTTCAAATTCCCTGATTGGTTCTGAATTATGTAAATACCTGGGAAGATCTGGATCTTAAGGTAAGTTCCAGGTCTTACCAGGTATAAGCCTTGTGTGAACTGGACCTGTGGGCTGCATGACACAGTTCCTGGGCCCAACATGCATAGCAGTCTTGGGTTTTTGGCCTCCAGGAGAAGACACCCACAAAGCCCAAAATTCCCTGTAAAAAGTAAATAAACTATAAACTTACCTGGCAGCAATAACGTTCCACCTTACACCAGGAGGGCGCAAGGACACCCCAGAAGATGGTGGGGGGATGAGCAATGTTCCCCCTTGCTTCTCCTTCCTAGTACATCATTTCCTCAAGCCCTCTTGGAAGTTAAGAGCAAGGTCAGGTTTTTTTTTTACTTTTTATGGGGACAATTGGGGGGCTTCAGGGTGGCTGCATGCCATCCCAATTATAATCAGGATGGCATGTAGCCACTCCCCGGGAAAGCCCAGGTTTTTTGGTGGGAGTGGAGATGGGAATCCGCACCAAAGCAAGTTTTTAAAACCTGCTTTGGCATGGATTATCGGATTTGGTTGGCATACTAAGGGTTCCTATTGCTGCCTCATTGCACAGTCCCAAAGGCTTGGTCCCACAGCCACATTTTTATCATCGTTCTAAAGGACAAGGGGGGGGGGGCTGACCTGATCTCATTAGGAAGGGAGTTCCATAGCTGAGGGGCAATTACTGAGAAGGCCCTATCTCTTGTCCCTGCCAAGCGCGCCTGTGATGGTGGCGGGGCTCCCCAGATCTTAATCTCTGCGGTAGTGGAAGATGCGTTCGGACAGGTAAATTGGACCAGGGTTGTTTAGGGCTTTATAGGCCAAAGCCAGCACTTTGAATTGTGCCCGGTAGCCTACTGGCAGCCAGTGGAGCTGGTGTAACATGGGAGTTGTGTGCTCCCTGTATGCCTCTCCAGTTATTAACCTGGCTGCCTCTCGCTGGACTATTTGAAGCTTCCGAGCAGTCTTCAAAGGCAACCCCACGTAGAGGGGTTATCATGGGGAAAGGTGTCTCCATTGAAGCTCAATCACCAATCCTTGTTTCCATGGCAACCCAGGGTTTTTAAAATCCAATAGTCACAGGGGCACAAAGTGAAGTGAAATCTTCTGAACTGAGGCACAGACAGCAAAACAAACTTTACAGGGGTATTAATCCTTCCCCCCATGATATCCAAAACTAATACAACCCTTTTTTTGGCTGGAGTTACACTTAAAAGTGTATCTGTTCTCATCTACATACAAATTCAACTTAAGAACTATCCTATAGAACCTATCTTGCTCATAAAGGAAAGAAAACAGCAACAGAAGAAGCCAACATACGTTTTCATGCAGTGTTCACAGTTAGACTGTGCTGAATATTTTTACTTTTCCTTACCCACCTGCCAAATATATATTGTGCTAACTAAATATTACAGGGTGAATATACATTCAGAACAAACAATGAAACGGGGCTGGCAATGGCCTTCTACTTGGCACTTACTGGCTTGGATGGATGACTCAATAAGACTTCAGGATGCTAAGGAGAAAGTCAGGAAAAGAGGGGAAGATTTGGGAAGAGGAACAGTTCAAAAGAGAGAGAAAAAGATGTAACAAGCGAATAGACTAAAGAATGATGTAAAGACATTTCCTACAGAAGAACGTAGATTTAGGTTAAAACTGCAAATAAAGGCTATAAGACATAAGAATAATAATAACATTGTTTTTATCTTGCCATAGCAAAGTTTTTTTTGCTTCAGCTCTGTGTACTGCATAATGAAAAACTTTTGGTTGCAGATTACTTATCTAAGTCAATGAGTATTTGAAAAGCTGCTTGGAAAAAGAAGCCTTGATAAACCAAATTACAATTTTACTTACTATATCAGAATAATTAAAGTTAAACTCTTCAAAATGTATTTCCTTTATAGAGTATGTGCAACATCCTGAAAACGTGAACCATACCTTAAAAAATTAAAAAGGCAGGGCAATTTAAGATCTGAATGCATGATTTTTACAATGTGGCCACTATTATATGTAAAATACGCATATATATATACTTATACATGTTCAAAGCCCAGAAAATTGAATCACAGATCAGGCTAGCAGCTACATCTACACATTAACAGTAATATATTAGATGCACAATTCAGCTGTCACAACCATACTCAAGTACACTGAGACTTAACACTGAAAACTGCAATACACTGAGTGCAGAACATATATCTAGACTTTTTGGCAATGACATCCCTCCAGGGTTTCAGCTGTAAAAATTTTTCTAGTCCAATCTGGTGACAATAGGGATCAAACCTCAGCCATTGTGCATATGAAGTATAGTATGTCTTCCACCACTGAGCTACAGCCTCTATAAATCTACAATATTCTCCATGTATTCCCCATGTAAAATAAATATGAAAAATTCATGAGCAAACCACTGTTCATATTTAAATGTAATATCTCGGTAAGTCCTTACTCTTTATCTGTTTCTACAGAGCATTTAAAGATGGCACACTGCCTACAGTTTACACTGAAAGCTTTTTCTTGCTTGTGCTTTCCATAAGTTATTTCAATTTCATTTCCTTTAAAAAACGCATTCAAGATTAAGATTCAACTCCTGACCATTTCATCTGAATGCTTAGTGGCTTACTGAGAATCACAATAAGCCAAAAGAAACTCCATGGCTCTTACTAATGGCTCCAAGACAATTTCTACAAACTGATTGAATACATCTTACTCCTCTCATTTTCCAAATGTCTAGGATTGGCACCTGAGTATTACTGACCAAACAGAGCCATGATGCTTTTGACACGCTGGCAAAATTGAATAAGTCTCTGTCTTTTCTCCTGCTACTTAAGATGTAATTATGCTGACTGTGTGGGAAGATTCTTCTTCTTCTATGTCATCCCTCTCTGTTTATGGCTCTTTCATCTGCACTCTTACTAGTTGTATCAGATTGTGAATGCTTTTCTTTGATACCACAATATGCCACTTGCACTACTCTCACCTCCTCAGTTTAGCAAGCTTAGTCTTTTTATACTAGGGTCCCTGATAAGACACTACCATTCTGCAACAGAAGTGATTTCAACTTTCTCCATTCCACACTATTTAACACCTTTAAAGACCAACATGGTCATATATGTATATGTTTTTATTCAATTCTTTAACTGAATACAAACTCCTAACAGGATAACTCCTTCTGTCTCTTTATTCTCTAGTTTTTTATGTTACAAAGTAAGACATGCACTTATTTTGCATGCTTCTCGATCTTATGTGAACAGCAGATTCAAATATCTCCCTGAATAAGAGAGAGGTGTGTGAGTTGTATCACTGTCAAAATGGCAAGGAAACAGGGGAAAGGTTCATATTTCTCTTCACACTGTATCCAGAAGCAGTTAAAGAAGCTATGAGAGTCACAAATCCATTGTCTACTGCCAATTTTTTTGCAACGTGCAAAGTGGTTCTGAATGTACAGCTCCTTTCACACATTTCCCTCAGCCTTTATTTCACTGATCGTTTAGTGATAATACATGATGCAAACAACAATGTACATTGGGAGGAAAACAGCAGCTGAAAAGAACAAACAACTCTACAGATGGGCAATTTAACAGGAAATTGTTTACCTTTTTCAGCTGAGATTCTAGTTTGAGACATTCCTCCTTTTTCTGTTCGAAGGCAATTTCTAGTGTCTTCAACCTAGAGTCTTTCTTCAGACCTGATGATGCTAAGGATGAGGCATGTTCCTTCAAATCCAGCAATGTAGTCTAGAACAAAAGGAACAAAAGGAATACAGGGAGAACCAGTATTCAGTTATTTAGGAGCCTTTTAGGGGAAAAGTTTCAGTTCTATTTATATTATACACACACACACACAGAGTTTATAATCAAGAAGATTAAACATTGTTTTTGACAAGGAAATTAAAACTTTAATGACCTCTCTATGTTGTCAGATCATCTATTTATGCACCACAAAAGCAAATTAGCAAAATATAACTTTTTTTCACTTGCTACCATGCACATTCTTCATATTTACTCAATGGACTGAACTGCAACATACCAAGACAATCTAATTAACAATTACAGTAGCATTCGTAAGATTTGAATATTTACTTATGTTTGTATTGCATATTTAATTTGTTCATTAAATTTGTCAATACTTATTGCCTCTCACAGCTCATAAAAATCAGTATTTTAATGCACAAATCTTATAAAACAATTTTTTAAATTCTAAAGCCCTAGCATCATAACTCTGAATTTTCATTTGTTATTCAGAAGACTAACCTCTTTCTCTGAAAGGTCTCCTTGTAAGACACTGACTTTCTCTTTCAGGTCTTTAAGGTCCTTTTTATAGTTGTCAATCTCTTCTTGTTTCTCTCGCTCATCTCTGTCCCGCTGCTCCTTTAATCGCTCGATAGTACGCTCCTGACCAAAAAAAAAAAAAAGATTTTTGTCAAAGCAATCTGAGTGGCTGAAAAAACATAGGTTTTGCTAGCTTCAGTAACCTTTCACATACATGGTTGACATTCAGATTAAATACATATAATAAGCATCTGCTGAATTTTTTCCCTATTAGAAGGAGATCAAAATCATCAAAACAACAAATACAGAGAAACCAAAAAAGTAACTATTTCTACTGAAATAGCTTTTGCAAAATATAAAGTACAATTGAGTAACATAATTGTCGTTGTTTTTAAGGGAACGATGTATTACCACACATTTCAATAGGAAAAAGCAGAAAGAATAAGAAGATGCAATATAACATTGGCCATAACTTGTATAACTAATGGATGCATCAGCTAATATTTATCTACATGGGATGAGAGCCAAAAATAAAACAGGGAAAAATCAAAAGTTCACTTTGCTAACATAGAACCCAAACAGTTGGTAGCAAATTATTTTGAAGTAGTCAGATAAGAAATTATTCTGGTGGCCAGGCCTATAAACTCACCGCAAAGTGAAGTACTGTACATGAAGATTATTTCATCTGTGGTACCGCTTTCAGGTGATAAAGCAAACTTTTAACATGTTCAGGAATTAACATAATATTAGGTTCTGCAAGCTATATTTTAGAGGAAGGAACTGAGCAAAACCACAGCTGAATATTACTTGCCTAAGAAAAGTCTATGAATTCAATAGGTTTGCTGTAAGTGGAAAGGTGTCTTGAAGATATATACTACACAAACAGCTTTCCAAAGGTGCAACAAAATTCACTTCAACAGTTTGTCATTTATTAATGTTGTGCAATGTTAAAATCCCATTTCATTCAGAGTTTTTTGAACCAGAAAGATGAGTTTTGAAATGTCACCAACAGGGCAAAGGACATCTCTCCCATGTTTGTTCCTGACATGCCCTCCATGAATGCACAAGAGCTGTCTGTATTGGCACAACAAGGTGCCCAAGGTATATATCCATATTGTTTGTATTTAACACTTTCTCAAGAACTCTAATAGCTTTCAGAAGATGTGAAGATAGTTTGGGTTAATCTATAGTACATATCAATATAGAATTCTAAACAGAAATATTTCCTACTGCAACATCAGCTGGAAGCTCTCTTTTTTTTTTTGGAAGCTTTTAAACACAGGCTGGATGGCCATCTGTCAAGGGTACTTTAATTGTGCTTTTCCTGCATGGCAGGGAATTGGACTAAATAGCCCATGCGGTCTCTTTCGACTCTATATTATTCTATGAAATGAAATCTCCGCACAAACAGAATAGTCTGTTTTGCCCTGGGGAAAACAATATGTTTAAATGAAGTTATAACTATTTTTTCATACCTTCTCGGCTAGTGCTTCCTCCAGTGTAGTCAAGGCAGTATCGGTGTTAGTAGTATCAGCCTGTAAAGATTTTACTCTCTCTTTCAAGCTGCTCAACTGTTTTTCCTTGTCTCTTAGCTGTTCCTGTAGATTCTCAATCTTAGATAAGGCATATAAAAAAATCAGTCAAGTGGAAACATCATGAAGTTTGTTTTAAAACGAATAGTCAGAACTCTACTCTACAGGAGGCACTTACTGGATATATAGAATGCTGTGTCTCCTCAGACAATAAGAGGAACCAGGACTTTTTTCATTTGTGCCCCTAAAGCTCTCTATGTCTGCTCCCACTTCTCAAGTCAACCTTTCCACGTTTTCTTGAGTTACCATACAGATATAGATATATATGCAAAACTGTATAGAAATGGTCCAATTGGGTTAATTTTCCTCTTCTCTGACATATCTTCATTTCTCTGTATTAGGCATGGGCAAGCTTTGACCCTCCAGGTGTTTTGGACTTCAAAACTCACAATTCCTAACAGCCTCAGATCCCTTCCTTTTTCTCCTCAGCCACTACAGGGGAAAAAGGAAGGGGCTTGAAGCTGTTAGGAATTGTGGGAGCTGGGAGTCCAAAACACCTGGGGGGAGGGGTGCAAAGTTTGCTCATGCTTGTTCTATATCAACTGTTTATTTACTATGGCCATAAGACACATACAAGAATCCATTTTACTGCTATAGCTTTAAGAGCCTCAAAAAAGCATGTATGTAATCAGGTGATGACCTTCACTACAGAAACTGCCAAAGCAGAGTAAAAAATTAATATGAAGTGTCGTTGGAGCCAGAAAGAAAGGGATTGGTGTTGGCATCTACAGCAGCAAGTCAGTCAAGCAAGGAAACTGCAGTACTTTAACACAGGTTCTCAAAGAGCTTTTAATTCAAACATTCAATTACATTTTCCAAGTCAGTGATTTATTACAAAGTTCAGAAATTTAATATAATATAAAATCCCAGGGGAAAATCTTCAAGAGGATGGACTTAATGCTAATTTCATGCAAGGAATGTCCAGTCAGCTCCTAATGCCTCCTATATGGGAAACTAAATTGAAAAGCATTGACGTATTCATGGAGGGAGGCAGATTCATCAAACCCTTAACAAGCACTGACCCCTTAGAAGTACATACTTAACACTATCCATTGATTTTCAGATATTGAACAACCATTTTAAAAATGTAAAGAGAATGCATCCTGTGCATACATGGAAGAACAAATATATGCAAAGAGGAGCATTTCAATGCATATGCATAAAATATTAATAATGTTAATAAAATATTAATAAAAATGTTAATAATGGAGTGGACAGTGAACTATGATACTGACCCTCCTAGTCCTCAACCAAATATCTCAATTTGGGATTACCTTCAGATCATGTTAAAATAAATCTATTACGGCCATCTAGGATATGGGAAGATTATCCATGCTGTATATGGTTTGTAAAAAATAATTTGAATGGAACGTATTAAAATTACAACAAAATCTGAACCACAATTAGAATATCTAGATGCCATTTCAATTGACAATTATATTTTGATTTTGATTTTAGTGTTATGCATGTTTAGTCAATCACTTTAGATCTATCCCACCTTTCCCACCACAAATAGGTCTTAAGTCAACCTAGTATTTTCTTCACATAACCAATACTTGAAGGTTCTTTTCCAAGCTTCAGTGAAATATTCCTAACAGAATTTTATGAGTGTTTGAGTAAAGGCTGATATTCCGTAATCCTTTTTTACTGTCGAAAAATTTGAATTATGACAGAAATTTGCATGCTGAACAATTTATAATATTCCTTCTAATGCTGCAATAAAAATTCACTACAAGTAAATTTGACCTGTATTTTTCTAAAACAGGATGAAGAGAAAACTGCATGTGGTCTCCAGGACACCTTAGAATACCAAATTGTTGTTTTTTTAAAAAAACAAACAAATAAAAATATCGCCAGATCCCCAAATCTCTCCCCCCCCCCCCCCCCCCCCCCCCCCCCAGAGTCTATGGAAAGTTTTCATATTCCGGCGAAGTGGGGGTTGCCAATTATAAAGCTACCTCCCATTAGAATAAAAAGCTCAATAACTATTAAGAAACACCTTTGCAACTATACTGTATGGGAATTATTAATTTCTAGCTAGGAAACAAACATTTCTATGGATAGCAAGCCTACCTTCTTTTGAAGAACATTAACTTTGCGTTCTTTCACATCCAACATATCCTTAAGATCATGAATTTCCCCAGCCTGAGTTCCCTTCTCCTCAGCCATTTCCTGAATTTGCTTTGTCTTTTTATTCAACATAGTCTCCTTCTCCTCCAGGCGTAGTCGAAGAGCATCCACCTAAAGGAAAGTGGAAAAATTCAGTTATTTTCAGCAAAATAACTTTTGAACCAAAATAAATAGTACTGGAAAACAATTCTCTATACGATTAAATTAAAAAGCACCAGTGCCAGTACACCTCAGCAAGCGAGAGTCCAAAAGTGGCAGGCTAAAATCCAGAACCTCAATCAATGGCTGATACCAAATGAAAGACTCCCTCCTGGGCACACAGAAACCTGGGCGACTTGGAAGACGATGAACAGACTGCACTCTGGTACCACGAGATGCAGAGCCAACCTTAAGAAATGGGGCTACAAAGTAGAATCCACGACATGCACGTGTGGAGAGAAGCAAACCACAGACCACCTACTACAATGCAGCCTGAGCCCTGCCACATGTGAAATGGAGGACCTTCTTATAGCAACACCAGAGGCACTCTGAGTGGCCAGCTATTAGTCAAAGGACGTTTAATAAAAGGACATTGCTTTTTAAAATATAATACAACTGTTTGGTTCACTCCTGACACAATAAATAATACCAGTACCATTTCCCAATAATAGTAATCTGAATATACCATTGGTCCAAGAACACAGATAACTATATGAAATCATAAGCAACCCTAAGATGAACTATAGGCTTTTTGAATCATTTGTACTATATTTAACTGCTTCCAGTCATGTCACCATTCTTGTTTCTCCTTTTTTCCATTTTCCTACATTGGGGTTCAAAACAAAACTACTGCCTTCCTTCTATCTCCAAAACCCAAAGTGGTGGCTGTAGAGGATAATCTTTATGCTCTTCCTACTTATAAGATAAATATTTTGTATTGGTTAATACTTTCAATTACATTAAGTGAGCCTTTACACCTCAGATTAGACTGTGTAAGATTATATACAAATATTGTTTCCATATTTAGAGTGTTAAAAAAAAGCCAATAACAAAGGAGCACTGAGTCACCAGCAAGTAAATGCCAAGTGAACTTGCAAATACCCTATACACTCATGCATAAGTTGACTTCATGTATAAGTCAATGGCAGGTTTTGGGTCAAAATTATGGATATGATTTGTGTATAAGTTGAGGGTCATTCTGTGAAGAGGATAAAGCACCAAAAACACCTCAGAGGGAGGTGGGCAGCTGCCTCTGGCTGCTGCCACCATTTCTCCACCCTGGTATCCAGAAAGGCCAGAAGCAACACCACTGCAGAGAGACTAGAGGGGGTTGGTGCTGCCTTTAGGTTTCTCCAGGATGGACTAAATTTTTGTCTTTTGCCACTTTGCAAAAGGTGAAGAAGATGGTTCCTTCTATGATAAGAGAAAGGGTATAATACACTGATCTGTGGAGAAGTTGACCCAAATTATCTGTTTTTTTTACTAGAATTTCCAGACTTACTCATGAGTATATAGGGTAAGTTTAACATCCATTAAAATGTAAGAAGAGGGAATAGGCATAGGTAGTACTTATATAGCTCCATAACGACAGTAGTTTGGCTCATTTGCAGCAAAATGTTGGTCTTTGACTCAATGAGTTTGTAAGTTAAATTTTGAGAGTGAAGGAGACAGAATGGTATCGATAAGAATAACATGGGATGAATATGATTCCTGGACTAGATAAATGTGAAGAAAAACAGAAAATACTCAGAACCTATGATTCATTCTTGCCTTAAAGAAGCAATAGCTCATGAAGAATTCAGAGAAACAAGAAGGGTATTATCACCAAAAGGCATACAATTTTAAAACAGTTTGTACTGCTTATTTTTTATACTTCAGGGGACAAAGATTAAAGTAATTGTAAGCCACCAAAGCAAAGGTCACAAAGACCCTTGAAGGCTCTGTCAGCTTCCAGAACATCCAACTGCGCCTATGCCAGAAAAGAGAAGAGGGGAAATGGCAGAAGAAATTAGAACAGTTTCAACATAAATTCAGTCTAGAGAAGATGGTCAACACAAAGAAAAGAACAACCTGAAAGACCTTTGTAGAATACAAATGGCAACATTAGGCCATTCAAGGGACTATAAGAAACCCATTGACCCTTATCAGCTTGGCTTTCAGAAACAGTTCAAGCTGGCTAACTTGGCTGTTAATCCTATTTGACAGTATCAGATTTGTTTCCTATTAGCTGAATTCATTACAAGGCCATCAGTCACGGTAAACTGGCTGCATTCTGAACATTTGGCCCCCTCTGCACAAGCTTCGGATTGTCAATCAGCAAAAAGGAAATTTGGTCAATTTTAAATGGAGAAAAAGGTTTGATCAAATAATGAGTAAGCAACAGCTGATATTCTAGGCATTTCATTTCCTCATATTTTTCCCCTTATTTTCAAGATCCTACATGACCATACTTGACATAAATTTAACTAAAGAAACAAGTCAAAAAATTAAAGATTGCTGTGTAAGAAATGTTAGGAAGAATCATTTAAAAATAATTAATTATAAATTATAAGTAATGAATTATCTCAAATTATAAATAAGGTCTGTTTCAATTAGGAAGGGCATGTATGCTCCTCAACCACATGCTTCAACAGACTTCTACACAATCAGAAGAATAACAACCACGCCTAATGCAAAAGGTATTAAAGCAACCTTTTTTGAAGATCCTCCAAATTAGTTAATGTTTCTAGCAGTTAAGGGTGTTAATCACATTGCTCAGAAAACCTCACCTAACAAAGCAGTGTACCTGTGGTCCTACATATATTGTTATTATCTACTACTGTACCATTATCTATGTTGTCTATGAATGCTAGAAACACCTGGAAAATACAAATAATTCAAACTCTTATCTAAACAATTATGATAATAAGAGCAGTCATATCTGATATATTCTACAATTACCTCCTAATTTCAATGTTCTTTTAAATTTGGGGGCAAACTAGCTAATCTGCATATTCTGGCCAGCTTCACAGCAGTCTAAGCAGCTCAACCAACACCAAGCAACTAGGATCAGGCATGGGCTGTATGTGGTCCCTTGGGCTCTTGCCTTCACCCCTGCCCCCAGCCGTGTGTCACAGCCCCGGTCCAGCCCTCCTGAGAGCTCTTCACAGTCATGTGTCAAGCTCTCCTCTTGGAAGGAGGCTGCAGTGGGCCTCCGTGTTCTCCCACGAAGAGAAGGACCTTGTACACACACACAGCCATGTGTGCAACCCTCCCCCACTGCGCCAACCAGGCCCCGGCTTCCTCCCCTGGCACCAACCATCGGCTCCCCCCCCCAACCTGCCCAGGCATGTGGCCCCCTTTCTAAAATGTTTACTAGGTGATCATACTAAGGAGCTAGGCCAGAAACTGTTGGAAACTGTAACCTTCTTCAAGCCTCCTCTAGTAATTTCTTTATCTATAATCCTATTGCTTACTTATTGTTCTGGTATGCAGCTTTCTTTCCTTGCTCTATGTTTTCCTGAGAAGTTGTGGGAGGGGCTGAAGATCACATGATCCGCTCTGAGATGAACACAGAGCACAGACTTCTTTAGACTTTGGGACTTCTAAGATCACAGACTTAAAAACACTTGCCTGTTTATTGTAAAGAGATGTTCTGACTGGATGGCACAGTAATGATGGTATCTCAAACATAACTGTAACTGACTGATAAGTTGTTACCTGTGTATGCTGAACACATGAAGGTCATGAGTAAACCAAATATGTTATGTTACCAAAGTCGACTCTATTTTTGTCTCTTGAGTGCATAATATAAACAAATTGTTTTATGGGAAAGTAATAATTATAATAATAATGTAGATATATATAATTTGGCACTGAACAACACTTCTGAAGAACTGCTATTTTTATGCACTGGCATATTTTCTGTTTCCTAACAGATCAGAGACAACAGGTTATTCAGTCTAACAACTGAAGCCAATTGCCTTGCATAATTACATTTGGTTGTATACCACTTGAGAAAATTCTACTCAAAATGGGTTTTTGGTTCTTCTCTAAAAGGTTATGAGCTCTAATAAGTCATGTTTTTCTAAATGAAACAGCAATTTTTTAACAGCTGAACAACTTGCAACTATATCACCTGAAGATGCAACACCTAAAATGTCAACTTTTAATCCCCAATGGTAGTGAATGCCACTGCAAGATTGCTTTCTCATTCTGTTTGTATGAAATAACCGGGCTCTGGCAGAATAACAGAAATCTTACAGAGAAGGATCCCAGATCTAATAACAATCACCCACTGGAAAGTAAGGTATATTTATATTTATTTTACAGGACTATTATTCTGCTAAATAGCATTTTCATTTGCATCTCAGTTATAAGATATATCACATAGCTAGTCTAAGTGGACAAATAAATTGCCATGTTTCTGAGAAAAATGTTATGAGTCACACAACAGAGCTGAATAGAAAGCTTCAAACTTAGATTTTTCTAAAAGTCATCCAATTCTTGGTAAATCTAGAGAAAACCCTTTAAAATGAGGTTATGCCAATACTGTAACCATTTAAGACTATTTTCACAACTGGGTTCTCAGTTTTTAAAGATACATGTTATTTCTGGGAATGATAAAATTTTCAAATCTTCATTTTAAGTATAGCATCAATAGGCAATATGGAAAGACAGAAATAAATCATCAATTCATACATATGTGCATGCATATCCAGACAAAATTACTATAGTAGATATACATACAATCTTTTTCCAATAATACATCTATTAGCTAACTGTAATGCTGATATTGAAAACACAGAATTCCTTCTCCTTTAGCCCTTCCACCCACAACTGGCTCTGGAGGATTTCCTGACACAATAGTGATAGTTATGAAGAAGCAGACAGAGTGACAATGGAAATGAAGATAATATGGTCCTAATTCTGCTAGATTTCACATTGTAGATGCTCACTATTAGAATCTACCGTTTCAAATTTCACAGAAATTATTCTGCTCCACCTGCTAGCACACAAGAATGCTTTGGTCTTATTTCGGATCTTTCAAACCCTTATACTTGAAAGAAATTACCATTTGATGCCAAACTATCAGCTCATCCTCTGACTTCTACTTCCTGCCTTAGTCTTCACTTCCCTTTTACTCACTCTACCTTTTACACTACTAAAATTTAGAATATGCGGGGAAAGTTTCTTCTGGACTGAATGTACACATTCAGCAGTTCATTTTAATATAACAGGCCTGTGTATTACACAAGAGATCTGTTCCAGGACCCTTAGCAAAATACAATTTTCACATAATCTGGAATTTTATAGAGATTTAGAGCAAAGATTTCAGGGGTTTTTTTTAATTAAAAAATTTAATTAAAAAATTTAATTAAAAAAAACAGGGTAAATCAATGTAGAAAGTACATGTTGTTTCAACATATTATGGATTGTTTTGAACTGAATACATAGGAAATCTAGTGTGCAGCATTGGCATTTAATTTATATGACCACACTCTCTCTATAGCCATTAAAAATTCTTCAATATAAAGGATTGTTGTTGACTAAGATAGTAAAAGGTATGTGCCACCAACACTCTTGGCCAAATTTATACGATACAGAACAATTAGTGTTACAGCATTCTTAAATAAGGTAAAGCAATCACAAAGACTGCAAAAAAAAAATTAAATGCAACAACTAAACAATCATTTGATGCATTTGACGGCCAATGTATAATTGAGAAAATAAAAATTGCAAAAACATTGTTTAATAAAGAACACTGAATATTTATAATAATTATGCTATATTTTGTAAATTTTCTGGTAATTAAATCATTCATCACTGGCTAATCATCATAATGCCATCAGTCTGGCTAGAGGGAAGATATATAGGGATCCCTCATGCCCAACAACTTTGTATTTGTGGGTCCGGGGAAAGAGAGGATTTAATAAACTATTTGCAACATTGCCCTTTGTATAATGACCCTCAAAACAATCTTCTGGGAGTCCTTTTGGAAGAAAGGGTAGCATGACAACAGTCAGCAGTTATCTGTGACTTGTTAGCGGATTATTCCAAAAATGTAACATTAAAGGTTGCCACATTTGCAGTCGCAGCCCAAAAAATCCAAGCTAAATTAGTCAAGTCCACAGCGGAGGCTAGAAATGGAAATGGAGATAGTTTGGGATGATACAAACCAGACATTTGTTATTGTTATCATGTCACTGCTACTATAATTTTAAAGAGCCAGTATATGAAATAAGTATTAATATTGATATCGGAAAATGCTTATTGTACTTTTAAAGGTTGTATATTATGTGATGTCATGGCCTATGGCTGGTACAACAAACAATTCATTCACTGGCTAATTGCATTTTTGATACATGCTTACAAAACAGAGAATTGCAATATGTGATGTACTGGCGCCCCCCTATGGCTGGCATACAACGTTTTATTAAGCCAATTAGAAGTAGTAAATGTATTGCTGAAAGAAGCAGTAAATGCTATTTTCCCTTAAGATACTTATGTTTGTACTTGAAAACTTTCCAGAAGTTTCTGACCTCCAAGGACTTTAAGCTGAAAACATGTGCTCATTTATAAGAAATCTATTTATGCTATTTGCAGAACACTAGTGTGTTAGCATTTGCTTTTACACCATAAAAATAACTCAAATGTACAAACGCACCAATATAACTAGATAGTAATAATGCAACCAAAGTAATAGCCACTGGAATCCTAGCCTTTTCCTCCCATCTTTAACTCGATGGATATTTCTTCTATTGTAAGATGCAATTGATTGTAAGACAAATACTAATTTCAGTACCACCATCAAAAAATAAAACTATACACAAGCATCTGTGAGTCTAAGTTGCATTCCATTTTTAGATATGTTTATATGGGGGGGGGGGGGGGGGGGAGAATCTTAGAATTGATGAAATGCAGTGTTCATTGATACAGTATTTATTACTACCCAAACTACTGTTACTGTTCTTGTTGTGTGCACTCAAATAATTTCCAACTTATAATGCCCCTAAGGCAAACTTATCACAGGGTTTTCTTGGCAATGTTAGAAAACAGTATGTATAAAAATATGTACACCCCACCTTATATCAAATATCTCTGGATGGCTTACAAAAGGCATTACAATTTTAAACAACAGAGTAATTGGGGAAACTGAAAAAAAATCATACTGAACTGTAGTATTAAGTTAAAAGTTCTCTAAATGAAGTATTTAGGATGAGTTAATGGCTTAAAGGCTTTAATGAGCTGTCAAATGTTAATTCGACACTTGAATGATATGAGTATTGGTACCACTTGGGCCTTCAAGGGGTGAGCATTCCACAATTAGGGTGATATGATTGAGAAGACCCTCTTCCATACAACAACAGAGTATTACTGGTGAGATACAGAGGAGTGTCTCCCCAGCATATCCAGGAGCATGTCCAAGCTATGTACCTGTTCCTTCAGCAGGAGAGAAACCCCATTCGGGACAGGTTGTTTACCCAATTCCCAGATCTGAGAACCACTAATCCAAACAGCCTTCATCTTATCAGAATTCAGATTCAGTTAACTGGCCCTCATCCAGCCCGTTACTGCATCCAGGCACTGGTCCAGCACTTGCACAACCCCAGCTTACTCCAATGACAAAAGAGAAATAAAGCTGAGAAGCAACAGCATAGATGGCATTCCTTTCCAAGATTTGGGTTTGTCTCTGCCTTTCTTTGAGGCTGAGAATTTGTCGGGGCTGCTGTGATTGTGCCTTTTCTGCATGGCAGAGTTGACTAGATGGGCCAGGTGATCTCTTCCAACTCTATGATTCTATAACTTGCCCAAGTGGGTTCCTGTAGCTATGAGGGGATTTGAATCCTGGTCGACAGTCAAAGTCCAATGCTCAAACCACGATGCCATGTTCTTATCCAGTTAGAGACGGCACACATATTTCTCCTCAAAGACATCCGGTTTTTTGGAACCTGAACCGCAATCAGTGAGTAAGTGACTAGAAGCAAGTGTGATAGAAAACAACCTATGAAACAAACACTAGTATAGAAACATATCTTCAGTATTCTGTTTCCCTCAGCTGTAGACAACGCCTTTAATCTCCATCTGAATGTCACATTTTAAACGCCATCTGAATGTCACATGAACAATTAAATTAGCTATGATTTAGTTAAGTTTCCCTTTCTACTAGAATTTCAAAGAAAGTTTTGAAGCTAGTTATCTAAATCCTGATTAAGAGAGATATGTGTTCATTTTAATAATATTTCATGCCAGTACAGATATGTATAGAAATAAATTAACACTTTGTATACTGGAGGAAACATAACTTGCAAACCCCCATCCCAGGATGAAATGGGATCACAAGCAGCTAATTTTGTGAATGGTCATCAGAGGAGGGACAAGCCAGAATAAATGTACACTTTTATGGCCTGCAGCCTTTCACTCAGCCACAATCAACTGCTCTCTCAACATTACAGTATACAGGCAACCCCCAAGTTACTAACAAGGTAAGTTATGTAGGTTTGTTTTTAAGTTGAATTTGTATGTAAGTTAGAACAGGTACATTTTTAAGTGGAACTCCAGCCAAAAATATGTACCTTTTAGCTTTGGATAGCATAGGGAAGGATTAACACCCCTGTGGGGGATGTTTTGCTGTCTGTGTTCCTGTTCAGAAGATTTCACCCCATTTTCTGTCTCTTTGAGAATTGGATTTTGAAAAATGTGGCTTGTTGTGGAAACAAGGATTGGTGAGAAAGCTTCACTGGAGACACCATGGCCCATGATAACTCTTCCAGGAGAGAATTTCCCTTCCTAGGGATAGATGCCTCTCACTTCCTGTTGTTTCTCCCCTGTTCTTTATTATGAGTTGTTGGATGTTTGTAACTTGGGGACTGCCTGTATTGTTCCCTTAATTCCAAAGGCCACAAGATAATTAATGTGTTTTTCACCTCTGTTTGCAGGATAGCTGCTCTCTGCTCCTTTGCGGTAAGGGACTCCTTGAGCACATCAATGTGTTGCTTGCTATCAGAAAACTGGTTTGTGAGAGTTTCCAACTTAGTCTGTAATGCCAAAAGCTCTGTGTCTTTGCGTGACAGTTCTTGTTTCACCTGACCGATCTAAAAGAATCAAACAGAAGAATACAGACTATATTAACCCATCACACACAAAAAATACAACCAACAGTTTTTAATATCAGATGTGACTATGATTTAAGTATTTTCCTCTATTTGAAATGCAAAGGTTCAAGCCCACCGAGGAAGTAAAAAGGAAAGATAGCAGATTTCTCTAAATGCATGCTAGTGTAAGTAAATATAGTCATGAAAGTATTTTTGTAGAAAAGAAAATGAAACACTCTAAAAATAAAACTAGAACTCTCATATGAAGACAATAACCGTAGCCAATATACACATTGTTCTACTATTACAGGCCACTAAAGACAGAGTTCCTGACATCTGATGACAAGTATGTAGTAAAGTGGGGGTGGTGGGGAGACTCAAATATAGAGGCAACCAGTCATAGCTTAGAGTTTTTAAAAACTGTCTAGCTGAAAGGCCGCTTTTAAAATCAAGAAATGATATTAGGAAGGACAGTAAATTATTGCTACTAACTAGGAATAAGGCATCTTTGGTCTATTCCTATATCTAATATTCATTACAACTGCATCGGCTGTATAATAATACATTTGTTAGAAAAATATGTTAGCACAAGTGTAAGCTAAACCAGGGACCTGCAAAAAGAGTTCTCATACATTTCCTAGTATTGCTTTAAGAATGTCAACCTCAATGTTGAAATATGAGGACTTTTTAATCAGTCCTTAGTTTCATATTTCCTCAAGATGGGAATTTTTTTCTCCTTATGTCTTTTAAATCCCGTCACTATACCAGCATATCCCAGTTTAAAAACCCTTTGACAAAGAAGCGCCTTTTGACAATGTCTTTTTAAGGGATCCTTCTTTTGTTGCCTTCTGCTGTGTGGGAAGGCTGTTTTGTCACGGTTGTTGTTGGTGGGGTACCCCCCCCCCCCACCTCCACTGGCATTAGGGAAATTGCAGAGGAAGCCGGAAATACAAATTTCAGCATTGGCTTTCACTAGTGTGTCAGTAGACAAGCATGCAAGGAAACATGACCTGAGAAAGAATGAGATTCCACTCTAGGTGATTCTACCATAGCTCTGTGTTTTCATGACAGCTGCCTCCAGATTACCTTACCAAGCATGTATGAAGAACAGAATAGAAAGAAATGGGGAAAGCAGAGTAGTCTGCCTCACCAGCTATAGTTGTTGAAAAGGTTTCTGTAAGTTTTGCCACCAAAAATGGTAATCATAAGAAAGGAGAAAGTTATTCAAAGAAAAAACAATTTGAGAACGCATTCTGGAAGGTTTAAAGTGGTCTGTAGAAGACTCAAAATGTTTTTGTTTGCTTATGCAAAGTTCACCTGCTCTGGTTGTTTTATTTCTCAAGTGCATGCTGACAATTTTGAATGAAAAATTTGCTGAAACATGGCAAACTGCTTTTCTTTTTTGTGTGGTGTAAGAACCTATCCCTATACTTTCTATATTATTTCTATCTATGGTACTAAGGTTTCCATTAAAGAAGTAAATCGCAGGAATACATCTATTTCGTTAACTGAGGTATACCTGTATTACATATCTGCTATATTACATCATGCCCTTGCAGCAGGTTTTTTTATATGTTGTACAAGGATACAGTACAGGATTCTAGATGTAAGTATAGGCAAACTATTTGGTTTAAGCAGCCCTTGTCCTCTGATGACAGATACTCAAAAATATTACACAGGAGGTGTGGGGTGCTGTTAAATGGAGTCTCTCAATATCCTGTGGCAAAATGAGGTAGGTGCCTGAGAATGAAAAAAGTACCTTCTATGGGTAGGGATATCCTGAATTCAAAGCCACATTTTTATGATTCCAAAAGTTGTATTTTTAATTGCTAGCTAAACAGTATAACCAAAGAACATTTGTACACCAGCACAGAACTTTAAAAATGGAGTTAAATTTCTAAAATCTTCAGATCAGAGAGTTCTTCTAATACAAACATGCCATGCTTGGAAAGCAGCGCAGCAATCTGCGCAAGATCACATGTCAGTTTTCATAGAGATAAGAGATATATTTGAATAACAGGTATATTTGAATATTATCTTTTTATCCTTGAAATTGAAGTGTGTTCATTCACAAAGGCATTGCATGCATTTTTAGATTAAATACAAATGGCATACTTTAAGACACCTCAGAGAAGGAAGATAGTTAAGGTCTATACCTCTGTTCCTAATTTCATATACTGTTCAATAAAATAGTCTGACAAAAAGATAGCCTAGCAGGCCAAAGCCACAATGATCACATTTTAGTGTTTACTTTTCAGCAACTCAGCACTCTAAATGAATATAGGAATAAGTTGTCATAAAAAGTAACAACTATTCAAGAAATTAAAATTGACTGTGATCTTACATCTGTGAACAGCCAGATGTGAACCAAGGACAGATACAGAGCAGTTAGTTTTGTTGCTCTTTATAGATGCAGAATGCAAGATAAGCAAAGTAAGCTACCCAAGAAAGTTAGCAGAGCCCAAGTGAGTGGCACTGCACACAGAGAAGTTAATCTTACGGCAGAAACCTCAGTCTGAAGACCAGTCACTTTCTTTTTCAGCTCTTCCCCTTGAGCCTCTTTGGCATTTAGCTCTTCCTTCAGTTGTTCTACCTGCCACGACATTGTTATTTTTACATTTATATTATAATGTTGTCCTATCAACCTCCCTCAGACAGCAGAGGCAAACAGTAGGGAAAGATGAATATAGAGAAGATCCAACGGTTGTCACCACCTTCATCTTGATAAAAATACAAGCTGTTGAAAATAATCCTGGTTTCTTAAGTCTACAAGCAACAAATATTGCAAATGTAGTGCAATACAGAGATCATGACATTATCTAAAACAACATTCCACCCAACCACTGTTTTGCTGGACTGCAAAATCCATCACCCAGAGCATACTTACTGTGGATAATGGAAAATGCAACAACACACATATATAGAACATTGACTTGGGCTGCTAAAGGCTAATCCAAAACATATCACCAATTCATTGGCAATTAGATACAGCGTGCTAATAAAAAATATTGGGAAGTGGGATAACGAAGGAGCCAAGAGGCAACAAATTGTGCCTTTTTAAAGTTTCACATATCATGCTAGCCATGGCCATTTAGGTGGTGAGTTTCCCCCAAATTATTCATGTTCAGGTGATCAAAAAATTTAAATATTCAAAGTATGTATATAGGATTGCATTTAAAAAACATCCAAAAATTCAGATGGTCTAGAAAGAACCCGAAATTACTAGATGGGGCTTCCTAAATCTACTCTGTTGACAATATTGAATACTGTTGTAATTTTAACCTCTGTACAATATATTTTTCCTCAATTTTGAACACTTCCTGATGGATGCCACATGAAAATGAGTTAATAAATTACTGTCAAAGAAAATTACTGCCAAAGAACATGTGATAACAAATTAACAGTTATGGGGAATCAGTATTTCTGGAGAGAAGCTTCATGATTTAAAAAACAAACAAACAAATTGCATTCCAAATTTCTAAGATTTTGTAGCCTCTACTGTAATACTTAAAATATTTTGGGCAATACATTCTCTTCTGGGAACCTTCTTGCTCTATTCATGTCTTGAATGTCATTTCACTACTCTACTCTTAAGATCTTACATTCTCACAACAGAAACTGGGACGGTCCCTCCATTGTCTGCCAAAGCTGGAGATATACATGACAAAGCATACATGGATTTATTTCATTATGCTGAGATAACATTTATAATATAAGTATGTGAGGGCAGATCTGGAAAACCAATCTTGATTGATCTGCACCTTCTATTATGTATTTCCACCCATTTTTTATTTTATTTTTTACTCTGGTGAAACCATAGCTCAAAATGTGAAATTTGTTCTGTGATTCTGTCATAGAATGACAGTAGTTTCTTAGAGGATTCATTGTCCAGTAGTTACTGTCTACTCATTACCTTATTTTTCATGAATTTTGAATGGCTACGATACACTTCCATTTGTTTCATTTCTTCCTCACGTTCCTCTGTACTGAGTGCTCCATTTGATTTCAGCATCTGGATTTCTTCTTCCAAATCTCGGAGTCCACGCTCCATGGAAGAAATCTTTGAATCCTTCATATATAAGAAACAAAATGTAGTTCAGATTCCTTTTCATAAATTGGAAAAACATCAGAATTGGCACAGAGGTGCTCTGCAACATTCACAATCAATGGACAAGTTCTCTCTTATTTGTCCCATAATGCAATACAAATACTCAGGTAACAGTCTCCTCTAATAACCCTAAAACACTGACCCAGAAAAGGAGATGTTTTTGAACACTTGAACCGCAGGATGTTGGCTTTAAAGTCAAATGCCAGTCCCCGTCTCTTAATCAGGATTCCAGTTTATTAATTTTTATGTGGTCTATTTCAGTACTGGGTCCATCTCACCTGACACAAATAAGATGAAGACCTAGAGCTAAGTGACATCACTATACTGTTGATACCTCAAGACAAATAAATCTACAATAAAAAAAATTAATCATACAATATACTACAACTAAATCAGCAATCATCTAGACTGCTGTACTTTAAAAGTAAGGGGAAACATACCTCCCACTTCCATCTATATTTATATGAAGCTTTTTGTTCCTAGTAGAGGTTCACTATTTAAAAAAAAAATCTGTCTTGACTGTTCTGAAGAACATGAATGCTTGCCTGACATCGCTGTTAAGACTTCACATAAACTTGATTACAAGTTATGTACCTCAACAACAACTGGCAAATATTAAAAGATTTGTGTTCCTTTCGACAAGAAACAAGCATGAACTGGGGAATGCCATTTGAAAATCCAGGTTCTGAACCCACATAGTCTAATATAAGGTTCCAAATCAGTTTGAAGCATGAGAAACAATAGTTCAGAGACAGAAGCTATGTTGTCAATGGTGAAAGGCCAAAATTTTCTGACATCTCTAAATTAAAGAGATTCAGTAGTGGGTGATGTAAAACATCTGTCTGAGACTTTGGAAAGCCACTGCTTGATGGAAAAACACCTTGACATGGCAGGTTTCTGTGTTTCACCTAGTATGATCAATGAACAGAGCTGCGGCACAAGTGAATGAAATCAATGGAATGGGTCGGATATAATAAAATCTTTAATTCTAATTTTACTCCAATAGAAAGCATATGTAATCTTACTAAACCTATTTTGATAGATATTTGCAGAAGGAAGAACTCATTACAATAGTTTTCTTTTGTGTATAGGTTGTAAAAGAAGCACATCAAGCTCATATGCCAGGATTATTTTATGAGACAATTTTTAGAGGAGCCTACCAGTCTTC